TCGCCTTCTTGACCTTGGCAAGCTTGCTCAGGAAGTACCAGAAGCGCGACTTGGCCACAACGTCGTTCTGGGCGAAGATGCGCATGCGGTACACCTTGGGGGTGGGGTCAGCATCAGTGGGGATGCGGCGACCGACAACCTGATATTCGCGATGGGCCTGCACATTCATCACAAGCGAGTAAGTTCCCAGGTTCATTGGTTCAGCTGCCATTCAGTGGCGGACATGCATAACGAGGGCAAGGGGCTATATAGCATCCCCGCCCAGCATGTAACATGATAGCCACGAAGAAGCCCACTTAATCACAACGATAGATCGAGGGGGACCGTACCATGACGAGACGATAGAGACCACACGGGGAGAGAAGGGCGATGTGGATGCGAGGAAGAGAAAGAAAAGGAGGAGAGAAGCCAAATCCGGGCAAATACCTGCCTTATGAAATATGCGGAGAATTTATTTTTGTCGACAGCGCTCAATACGTGCGTGATGTGGTGGGCTCTCGCCCCGTACATTGTAATCAGAGGTGTACAGCAGTACCACAAGGCGACCATGAAAGCCGAAGGTGACATGAGAGAGATAAGGGGGCGATAAATAGGCGATTGTGTCCGCTAAGACGAAGAGGCCTCCTTGGTCGCGTCAAAATAGGGGCGCAAGATGTTGGCGACCTGGCCGGACTGAATAAGGTGGAGCACGGCGTCGATGTCCGGCTTCATGAACCTGCAGAGGGAGCCCGGGCAAAACACAACAAAGCAAACCGTTGAGTGTTGTTCCTGGGCCAAGGGCCTGAGTGGCGAGTGCGGGAAAGCTTACCTGTCCCTGTCGTAGGGCGGCACCACCGATCTGACAAGCGAGTAGATCTGCTCCAGAGGCTCGGTGGTCTTCAAGGGCCGGAGGAACTCCATGGCCTGGCACGTTGCGAGAAGCTGCGGTAACCGAAAAGCAGAGGAGGGAATCGATTAGTTACGTGCACAAGATGCAGGCAAAGGAACAGTGTGGGCCGCGCACCTCGATAGCGAGTACGGTCTCGACGTGCTCGACCACTCGGAGGACCTTGCGGGCAGCCCATCCGCCCATGGAAACGTGATCCTCCTTACCGGCCGACGTCGGCACCGAATCAACCGAGGCCGGGTGACAGAGCGACTTGTTCTCGGACACCAGCGCAGCCGCCGTACAATGCGCAATCATGAAGCCCGAGTTGAGACCACCCTCTTGCACCTGTTGCGCGGGTTTGCAGATAGAGCCTGGTTTTAGACAAGAGAAGGAAACACACCGGGAGAGCTGAGCGCGTACCAAAAATGCGGGGAGCTGGTTAGAGAGCGCAGGGTTGACCAAACGTTCAATCCTGCGCTCGCTGATGGACGCTAGCTCGTGAACGGCAATAGCCAAGTAGTCGGCCGCCTTGGCGGGGTATTCGCCGTGGAAGTTGCCACCGGACACCACCTTGGCCTTCACGCGAAAGAGAACGGCGGGGTTAGCCATCATCGGTGTTACTGGATTTCATGCGGTAGTGCAGTGAGTGTCACAAGGTACCTTGTCGGCCAACACCATAGGGGTTATCGGTGGCACTGTTCATCTCGGTGTCCAAAATGCCTTTGACAAAGCGGATGGTGTCGTACACCACGCCGTGGACCTATTTGTGAAGCGAAAGGCGAAGCATGCACAGCATTGCGCTGCGATCAGTACAAACGCATGTCTTATCGCGGGCTCAGATGGATGGGCAGGTGGACGGTTACCTGAGGGATGCAGCGCAGAGAATAGCTATCCTGCACTTGTCCGCAGTTCTTGTGCGAGTCTTGGATGGTGGAGGGCAGAAGGAGCACAGATCGCATGTTGCGCGCAGCACGAATCTGGCCCTTGTGAGGACGCGCCTGCACGATCGCCAGGACAAGTCGTAGCGGTGAGCACCATCGCCGAGGCCTGCAAGGCGGGCACACTCATCATTCATAAAGAGACGTTACCGCATGAATCTCCTCGCGGAAGGCCGCCGGGGTTCCTCGGAGGGCCTCGAGCGTCATCGCGGCAATGCCATCAGCGCACAGCGAAATGTTTATGGACCTCGACAGCGCCTCGGCACCTAACCACACACGCACGCCGCACACAGCAAAGAGTGCGTCAGTGACAATTGGTCACATCAACTCAATTCCGAATAGTGAATAAAACGAAGGGATAGGCCGACACGTGCCACAGTGGTGACACTAGCGGATGACGTACAGAGGCTGGTGATGAGCTGAGTTCCGTTGATGAGGGCCAGGCCTTCCTTGGCCTGCAGAGTGAGCGGCCGGAGCCCGTTCTTGGCCAACACCTCGGCGGCGGGCGCCCACTTCTGCTCCTGCACGTCCCACATCTCGCCTTCGCCCATAAGGCCGAGGGCGAGATGCGACAGCGGTGCAAGATCGCCGGAGGCGCCCACGGTGCCCTTCTGTGGCACCTTCGAGAGGCACGATTTGTTGAATGCGGCGATCAATTGCTCGAGTGAGGCGCGTGAGATGCCGGAGTAGCCCTTGGCCAGCACGTTGATGCGCAGGGTAAGCAGGCCCCTCGTCTGCTCCACGGTCAACGGCGATCCGGTGCCCGATGAATGCGAGCGGATGAGATTCTCCTGCAGCTCGCGCAGCTTCTCAGGCGGGATGAGCACGTTGGCGAAGTTGCCAAAGCCCGTGTTGATGCCGTAGGCCACCTGCTTGCGGTCGAGCAGGTCATCGACAACCTTCCTCCCCTCTTCGACTCGGCGCCAGGCGTCATCGGTGAGGCCCAGCACCACGTCCCCCGTGCGCAGCGCCATGAAATCGTCAATCGTCAGCGAATTGCCATCCAGCAACACCATCCTCGTCTTCTGCGCAACCGCCTCCATTCTATTCGTTGCAGTTGGTGTGTTGGGTTGTTATGTTATGCAATCCCACGGAGCAGAGTCTCGGCTGGGTGTTGCTTCTCTTCTCTCTTGTCTCTCGGTCTTTTCCTCGGTTCTCGGTCCTTTTGGCTGGCCAGCGGGAAACTTCCTTTACAACGAGAAAATCGCGAGAAACCACAAAAGAAATTATCCGCTGATCCCGCACAATCGGTGGAGCGAGCCACGAAGGCCAAAGAAGAAGAGGAAGGGCGTGATGATGGTGTAGGACTGACTTATGCGCGATATATAAGTACAACACGCGAGATGGGTCGACGGCAGATGGGGCAGTCCCGGAGGCGTTTCGAGCACTCCTTGCAACACGCGAGGTGCCCGCATTCGAGGAAGACGGTCTGGATCTTGCGGTCCATGCACACCGAACAGAGGTCCGGGTCGCCCTCAGACTTGGCGCCAAGCTCGGAAAACCCACTCTGGGCGCGTGCTGCTCCTGCTTGGGCAAACCCTTCGTCATGACAAGAGAGATTTGTGGTGTGTGTCGTGTGTGTATGTCGTGTCGTGTGTCGTGTGTGTCGTGTGTGTGGAAGAAGAAGATGATGGCGCACCTTCTTCTGGGAGGGATGGCAGGATGGACGGCAGTTGTGCGCCCGAGGCGTCTTGGCTCCATTGGGTACCGACCGGCTGGCGAAGCTTGGAGGCATGCGCTTGGGCAAAGTCCATCAGCGAAGGGTACACCTGAGGAGGATTCTTCAGGGTCACGCCAGCTGGTGGCACACTGTGCAGCAAGCAATGCTTGATCTGTAGGGAGTG